GAGCTTTAGAGTCCACATGGTGGGAGGAAAAGGTGGGTTTGAAGATGATAGGCTATTCGGCAAAGATGGAGCCTGGGGACTTGAGCTAAGAAGGTCGGCTGAATATGGCTGATTATATTAGTCCAGAGCAACAACAATTACATCCCCATGTCCCTTTTTCCTGGGACCACCTTAGTAGTCCTTTGAAATGTCCCTGTCTAGCATATCTAGGGGGAGACTCTACTCCCACAAAATGTTCAGTTTATTTAAAAAGTAGTTTGACTTTAAAATGCCTACAATAGTTAATGATTCATAATGTACAGACAAAAGAAGTAATATATAGTCACAAGAAAATAAAATAATTACTACTTGCTGCCTGCATCCCTCTATTGCCCTCAGAAAGAGTGTTTTCCTGCTAAACAAGGAGCCCTGTGTCTCCTCAACTGACAGACTATTTCAAATAAACAAACTCACGACTGGGTGAAAAACATATGTTTCGGTCAATACCCCTCTTGTCTGTCAAAACAAACTTTGACTGTAGTTGATCCGTGGACCTGAATAGTGCACAGCCCGCTTCCCCTCTGTGACATCATTCTGTCAGAGGATAGTGAGAATTAAAAACAGCTTCATCTACAGGGTGTGTGTCTGTGTGTGTGTGTGTGTGTGTGTGTGTGTGTGTGTGTGTGTGTGTGTGTGTGTGAGWSAGATGGGAGGGTTGTTACAGTATATTCCCCAAGAAGAGACACCTTAAAGGCTCTGAGAGAAGAGACATTTTTGCAAAGTGAGGTCATTTAGGAAAATTACACTTTCCACTGACAGTTATGTTAACTTTGTCTTCATTCGTCCTTCATTAGTTCAACAACTGTCAGCAATGTTTTATTCACAACTCTGCTAAGGAAATTTAGTAGTTTGATATTGGGAAACCGGGCTAGGCTGGCCATCTGGTAGATTGGGCACTTTCCCAGTTGGCTGGGCACAATATGTAACTAGAATTACACTCAGCTGAGCACATACCTCTACCAGGGACCAACATTGAACAGTTAAATTCAATCAAGATTGATACTGGTCCCATAAATATGCCTCACATCCTATCACAATATAATAAGAAAATGAAAAAGAATCAAATTTGTTGCAAGGGTTAATGAGTTCTTCCTTGGCCCATACCCCACTCTTCCACAAAGTTTAAATAAAAGTGGTTCAGTATTTTTCACGTAATCCTGGTGAAGGACCGACAGAGAGCAATGAAAACACAACCTCCCTAGTGTAGGTGAGGACATGAGATGTTGTTTGCAAAGTTATGTTGACTACAAAATATATATTCCACATCTACAACTACTCTGGTGCTCTCATTGTGTTATTGTCTCTCAATCTCCAGTTCTCCAAGTACTGGTGGCTCACCTTAACCAGGGTTCAAACCCAAATCTACCAATCTGCTGTTCTATAGATTGTGACACTCCAGCAACACATACAATCTGGATCAGACCTTGATCAATATTGTGGCTGCATAGGGGCAAAAAGAGGAAAGATAGTTAAGGGGTTGAATTACCAGAGTGAAGGATAACAGACATAAGCTGCTTTCAGACATGCACTGAGGTCTACAGGTCCAGGACAAGGAGATCAGCCACAACCAAATACCTCCAGAGGGTAAGACGACTGCTGAGAAGCCAGTTCAATGGAAGGAAAACGATCCAAGCCATCAACATTAAGTCCCACCAGTCTTAAGTTAAACCCCAATGGAGCTAACAACAGTGCTGAGACTCTGTGGGATGTCAAATTCAGATTGAGTGTAAAAGATGGAGCAGAGGATGTCAGTAGCGATAGATATGGCAGCTGACAGTAACATCAGGAATAAGGAGTGGGAGAAGATCAAGAAGTGGCAGCAGCTGATAGAACTGTAACAGATGTGGAGAGTGAAGTCTGAATAGGAGCATTAAAGACTCTGACCCCCCCCCCCCCCCAGTGTGACAATTGCTGCAGCGCATTCCTGGTACATAGGACGTTAAGTGTGGAAAATTTCGGAGCACAATTTGCACATGTGTACAACCTCAGCGGTCACACTGACTACTACCAGGTATTAAAAACCATGGAATAAACTGAAACTGAATATATGTATACACATTTATTTATAGCCAAACCATTTCATCTACTGCTTACAGACTGGGGCAAAAGGAGGGGCAAAACTGGCAGCCTTGTTGAGAGCATAGCGCAAAGTGATTATCCTAAACATATTATTTTAGTATAGTATGATAGTTGTAAGGGATGGGTACTCGTACCAATAGTGCATATCTGGTATTAAAGGTATTCTAATCAGTATATTTTGTTGCAGCTTATTGATATTGGGTATAAAAATACTGCAGAGTAGCATACAGCATTCTACAAGCCTCATTTCACTTACTGGCAACTTCTTCTCCCTTTAGGCACTATGGAGATCATGAGTAGATATCATTTGCCCTGTACAAAGGACTCTGGCAGGTAACAAGTTCCTGTTGGCCTTTGTCAAAATGGTTTATGCCTCTAAGTATCCAGACTCCTACTCTGACAAGTAACAGCCAAACAATTACCCACAGGCATGCTTAATTTGTTCATTACTGTTGGTATTCTCACAGAGGGTCTTATGAATCAGGGTCCAAATTTCATTAAGTGCACACTCAATCCCTTCTTAACATGAGACAAATGATGTGTATTTTGAACATAACAATATGCAAAGATACCCAAGTATGGACCTCAAATAAATATTGTGAAACTGTCAATGGACAAAACATGGGTGCGTAAGAAAGTTAGTGACTTGGAAGTAAGACATTTTAATAATAATTTGAAGATTTTTGTTTTCTGGAGAAAGGCAAATTTAATCATGGGGAAAAAATGTATTATGACACGGCAAAAAAACATTATTGTAAAAGATAAACATGTATCTCTCAAACCACTAAAGTCGGAATCTTCTGAGGAAAAGCAGGATCTTTGGAATGGAGTGGGGCTGCCTGGTCTGGTCGTCTTAAATTGCCCTTACAAGGGGACAGGAATGAAAGCATGTCCTCAAACCCCCAGTCCGCAGCAAAGAATGAATGATTTCATTGTTTTGGAAAGAAATGGGGAAAAAAGCAGCACTGCAGAGTTGAGTGTCGCTTGCGGAGCATCATGATTCAGGGGGCTTAGCTGCCTCTTGGCTCTTCACCTCACAATGAAACCAAGCTGAACACTGACATGGGGACATTGAATTTACATTTTACAGCTTTGACTATAGCAAAAACCTACAATGCTTCAATTGTCCCTCAAAAACACATGTATATCATCTAGATGTACGACAACGAAATGTTTCACTCGCCTCATTCATCAACTGTTACGAGGGCTCTGACATTTACCAATGTTTTCTTGCCTGGGATTTGTTCTAGAAAAAAAACTGAATCCACGAATACTCAAAAGCACCCCAGTGGCTCAGAGATTGTGGCAAAGGTTGAGGCCATCTCAACCAATACTCAAGCAATACTCATCATGCACTGTGCAATATATGTATTACTCATACTGTGCCAGAATCACTGCTGTGCAATACTCATTCATGTCCAATTACCACCCATGCACTGTGCAATACAGCTACTTGAATATAGTTACATGTATATTTGTAAATGTTCTCATTTTCCACTATTTCAAATAATGTATTTTTGTACTTTTTAGTATTTTTATACGTATTTGTTGCACTGTGAGGGAGTGGCACTATAATTTCATTGTACACCCTGTTCAATGACAATAAAGACAATCTTATTCTTATCTGTGTAAGGTCTATTCTCTCTTGAAAGTCCAGGACAACAACAATAACAATATCTTGACAACTAGACAATTTTTATTTGGAATAAGAACAGAGACTTGGTATTTGCAGAACAAGTGTACATCAGCAGTCAGATGACAAGCAGCTGTGGTCTTCATTTACCAGAAGATATGAGGTGATGTGAAAGAGAGTAAAATGTCTGATGAGCAGGATATTGCTGGCACAAGTAAGTGGTTGGAGGCCAATGTTCATGAGGTTTCTATGTTCTCTCAATTGCAAAAACAATTTCCCCTGTTGTTTTCTTGCTGCTCTTCAAACAGGCCAAAGCTACTTCTCTGTGAGCTGAATCTTTTTTATTTTAGTGTGACACTGTTGCTAAGACTTACGATTAATTCAGTATTTTAGGAAATAATAGTCTCATTTGAGTGAGATGGGTTAGGCTAGGTCAAGTATGTTTAGACTTTAGTACGTATTACTAACTTCTCTTATGGGATTAGTATCGTATCAATAAAATAAAGTATAGTATCATGCAATCAATGCTAACTTGACACTTGATTAAAGGTTCAGTGTGTATAATTTTGTGTCATTTAGTGGTGAAGTTGCATTTTGCAGCTGAATACCCCTCACCTCACCCTCCCCTTCCAAAAATGAAAGAGAATCTATGATATTCTTAAATTGTCCTAAAAACCCAAAAGGTGTTTAGTTTGTCCAGTTTGGGCTACTGTAAAAAAACTTTCGTAGAGAGTACCCACTCCCGATGTAAATTTCAAGTATTTAAATATAAAGGACCCATTCTAGGGTAAAGAAAAAATAAATGTATTAATAATAATTTAGATGAAACACACTATCTCTAGTATTATTTTGTATACAACTTCTGCCAATAGATCCCTTAACCTCTTTCACACTGATCCTTCAACAACGCTATGGACGCCTCTGTCCGCAGAATGTTTTGAGTTTTTATACCCCTCTGTCCTGTATTGAGGATTAAGAATATCACCACTGTGAAAATTTAGATTTTCAAGTCTGTAAATAAAATAATATAAAACATGAATGCAATTTTAATGAAAATGAATGACGAAAAGCCCACATATTGACCCAGGCTGGTGCATTAATGGAGAGGTAGGAAGTGTGTCAGTGTGACTCGGAGGTCATGCAGGACAACAACACGTTCCCATCCTCTGAGTTGAATCTTCCTCGCCACGCCTCCAGGAGGGAGCTGCTCCCCACATCTCCTCCCTCTCTGTCCCGCCGGTCTGTTACTTCCAGACTGGAAATGTCCTCAAACTGAGCTGAGAAATCTCGGAAATCTTTTCGAACTCCAGCTGTAACTCTCAACCCGCAACTGGACAAATGCTTCGTACCTGGACGCGTAATTGCGCGTAGGGATAAATGTCACCGTTCAGATTCCGAGATTAGGATCAAATATTCTCGTCTTTTTGCAGTATTTAGGAGACAACTGTTCTCTATTTACACAAAAAAAAGTATGATCAGTGCGGATCCAATGATCATAACTTAGTAAATCATCTCCTGTTCTCTTTAGTTTTAAAGTATTAGTATCAGCCCCGCTTCCTGCGTTTAAAATGCTGATCCTCGTGTATACAGCTGTGTTCTTTTTCCTCAAGCAGTCAGCCGGCGTGGAGCCGAATACAACATGCCCAACACGATGCGATGTGAATACCTGTCCGGGCCCCAGCTGCCCGAACGGCTATGTGCCGGACCGCTGCAGCTGCTGCCTGGTGTGCGCCCAGGGGGAAGGAGAGCCGTGCGGCCGCAGGGACGATCTGCCGTGCGGGGACGGTCTAGAGTGCAAACATCAGGCGGGCAGGCGACTCTCCAAAGGATTCTGTCAGTGCAAGTTAAACCACGTAGTTTGCGGCAGCGACGGGAAAACCTACGTTAATGTTTGCCATCTGAGGACGACCAGCAGGAAGGCCCTGCAGCAGGGACTCCCTGACATCACCCAAGTCCAGCAAGGAGCGTGTGAGACCAGCATAGGTACGATTTTGGTCATCTATGGTCTGTAAGAAGTGCAGGACACAATTAAGAAAGAAAGCTTTGTCCAATACAAACCCACTGACCTTCTCAGCTTTCTTTTACTTTTCTTTGATACCGAAAGTTAGAATTAGTGCCAGTGTGTATAGGGCATCTGATAAAAAAAAGATAAAAAAGAAGAATTAAAAAGAAGATGAAAAAACATAAACAGTCAAAACTTAAATAGTTGTTTGTATATAATACATTTTGAAGCATTTTTCAGTCACAGTTATCTTTTCTTTATATACTTAAGATAAGATAAGATAAGATAGACTTTATGCATCCCACACTTTGGAAATTTCAACATTACAGCAGCAGAGGGGCATTAAGATAGAGACAAATAAAAATATAGAAATAAAAATAAGAATAAAAATATACTCACGTATATATATATATATATATAAATAAAAATGTTTCTATTCTGGAAAATTCACAGTGATTATTGCACGTGAGAGTGGGGAATATACATTGGGATGTAACAATTCAGAAAGTATTGCACACACACCTAAAGATTGAATATAAATATTGCACATGAAATAAACTTGCATTCATGGTAGCCTTAATTCTAAAATACCTTCTTGCATCATCGGCAGTTCAGTCAAATAAAGGTTACTAATGTTTTCCACTTATAATGTCACACGTTTCAATATTTGCAAGTGTGAAAAAATATGAAAGATGTGCACATAGGGATAACTTGCACATTTGTAAAATACCTTTATAGTTGAAGAAATGCTGTGTTTGAGTGTTATTCCGATGTGTCCTGGAATTCTTCACTATCTGAAACACCACTTTCCACAGATAACCCTTGTACCAAGTCAGAGGGTACAGATGCATGGTTAGAAGACAGTGCATTGTGCATGCCATCACTTTTCATGGATGGCCAATGCACATTGGCCGAGGTGCTGATGATGATCATGTGATAAAATGAACATTTAGTGAGATTGTTTTCTCAAGTGCAGTTTGTAAGGTAGAAAAAATAACCTCTGCCTACTGTTGGGGTCAACGAATCCTGTTTTCCCTCAATATGATTTTAAATCACCAGTAGAAAGTTGAGCCCTGTGCCCCTTCCTTAATAACCTGCTCTATGACTTTTTTATGGTCTAAGTTCAAAATTGCTGGTTGTGTATGAATGTGAAATGTACTGTAAAGCATTTTGAGTGGTTGGTAAATATACAGTCAATTTACCAAACTAGTAAGGCTTGTGGACATAACCTAAGGGCTGCACAATGTTAGGAAAACATGCGATATGAGATAAAGTTGTTGAATATTGCAATGGCGATATGGCTTGCGATAAATAAACAAATACTTAAGTATACTGTGTTAATGTATTTCTGAATTGGGTTTGCTGCCAGCCTATGCAGACACTGACAAAACAAATATTGATTTATTATAGCAACTTCTTAGCTAGGTTTTAAACATGTGCGTTGGCATGTCACAACATTTCCTGATGTACTAAAAAGTATCTCTGAGGGTGAACTAGTTGCAAGTATACAGAGACACTTCCCGGCCTGTTTACTCAGCTATGTGGGAAGCCGACCTGGTGGAGTTTCCACCGCCTCATTGTCGCTGATGGGGGACAGTAACTAGCTGTAGAGTTCGGCTTCAACAGTTTGCACCAGTTGCACAAAAAATGAGGCAGGGACTGGGCACGTCTTGAAAAAATACTGTCCAGGGATTTCTTTGCATTCTTCAGAGGGGCACTGGGTAGATTAATGCTCTGGGTCAATGGGGCGTCTCTCCTAGAGCAGAGAGAAGAATACAGCGGGGAAAAAACAAATTTTTCATTTTATATCCATTCAAGATCATGCAATATCTGATTTGTTTTAGTGTCAAATAAATATAATAACTTAATTGCCTTCCGTGCTGTTGCTTCCATTTCTCACATCACCCTGGTCTTGACGTCTGCCACCTGACTTTGAATCTGTTTCAGGGAAATGTGAGTGTTAGTCAATCACTACTAAATAATCCTTTCCTTTAAGATGGAACAAGTCCATGTCTACCTAATGCCTAACATCAGTTACCATCGCAGCCTCTTTGGTTTTGCTTGCTCCTGTGTTTCTGACATGTGTCACATCTGCTTGTCAGTTTATCAATGTCTATGTTGAGTCCGGGCCAGAAATCGTATCCCTCGCCCTTCTTTTTCCATTTCTCAACACCTAGATGTCCCTCATGACTCGTCCCTCATCAGATGACTATCCTGTTTTGCTTCAGCAACAGTCCGTTAGCTTTGCACATCATCTTCAGTTGTACTCACACTGTCATTGAAGGTAGTTCAACTTACAACTTGCAATCAAACGTTTATTGCAATAGTACAACAGGTTTGTGTTTGGCGTCTAGGCTCCGACTTAATCCCTCCCCCAGATATTATTACATGGACGTAATGGGAGTGATAATCAAATACTTGTAACCCCCCCTGTCAGAGCCTACAGGTGGATGCGGGGGTGTTGGAGGGGCTGAAGCAACTGGCGGCAATACTGCCGCAGCAGCGGGGCAAGCAAAGGGGGTGATGGGAAATGTTCTCCGGTCAAATAGACTGCCTTAAGAGTGGGCGTGTATTATAGATGATTGTGGAGAGTGAGGCATGTCACGTGGTGCATGTCACATGATTGGAGCAGCGCAGCTTGACTTGGCTGCCTGAACTAGCTCGCAGGCGTTTCTCCATCTGTGGAACTTTTCTAGGCCAAAGACTAATCCTATGAATAATTTTTTTATTTCAGCATATTTCAGTAACAAATGATCCATTCTCCGAAGCTGATATATAGGTTAAGCTCTATGTACTTGGCAACTTCACATAAGGTTTGAAAAAAATTCTAATCTCAATTACCTTTTGAATTTCATCTACCGCATACCTACTAGTGGAAGAAAGTTCAAATGTATTATTCCCTAGAGACACTGTCTCTAGGATTTGTAGTCAATGGTAAAGCATGTGGAGAATCCAAATAATACGTTTGTTTTTTTACTTTTACATTCTTAATGATAATTTCTCTACAACATATAACATCCATGCAGAAACCTTCGCTGTACTCATTTGGACATAAATACAGAGCAAAATATTTAATGCTCCATTGCATTTGCTTTGACAACAAATGGATTTAAATAATGTTTTCTAAGATTATTTTCCTTCAAGCTTACTGATAGTCATCTTAATTGGGAGGATGACAGATTTACTGAAGTAAATGTGGAAGTTGGGTCTTGTAAGTTAGTCACTCTTGTGTTTTTATTAACCACGCCTATAAGGATGTGAAGCTCCAGACATGATCGTCTGTGCATGTGTGATGTGTTCTTAATAGTATCACTTACTCTTAAAGGGATAGTTCAACGAAAAATGAAAATTCACTAAAACAACAGAAGAAACATTACATGCCTCTATACTGCTTGAATATTTGAATTTAAACAAGGTCATTTACACTCTGTTAGGCCTGAACATCTGTTACTGGAAGCTACTAGACGTAGCCGCACGTGGCACACCAACGTGTTCACATGCAAGAGTTTGTGAATGCACCTCATTGGAAGATAAGAGCTTAGGCTTAAAACACGGTGTAAATGACCAGTTTGGAGTCGAATATTAATGTCAGGGCTTGCAGACACTTAGATGACATCACACGAGCAGTAGGGAGGCATGTTATGTTTTTTGTGTTGTTTTATTATGTCTGAAGAAGCGGGCAGTGAATTTTCTATCCCCTAAAACAATTTAGCCTTCGAAGTAAAAGCATACATTTTTTTGCTGCAAGCTTTATTTGTTAATTGATGCACATTCATCTGTATTTTAGATTGTATATAAAGATGGATGATGTGGATGTGTGCTGCCATCTTGCGCTTTTGAAGTTAACGACTGTACCGTTATGGTGTGAAGAATACACACATGCATGAGCTTACATCAGTGTGAGAACAACTACCTAGTGGCCCTAAAAGTTCAATACCCATTTAAATAGACAGAGCACATGTAGATGGAGAAAACATACTGATTAATTTGACAACACAAGAAGAAGAAGTAGAAAAGAAGAAGTTATGTGATGAGAACTAACCAAATACTGACAGATGGTAAAGAGAGCTTCCATGATTTAGCAGCATTATGTTGTTTACTTGCAACCACAATTTCGCTGTTTGCAAATGCAACCCTCTCTCTCATAGGGGAAGGCTGCAAGTGAATGGCAGAATTGGCAGGTTACCTGGGGATGATCGCTTACTGACAATATCAGTTTATGACATTAAAAGTTTTACATTTTAACATAGGATTTACGTTATAACGTGAGTTTTGTTTTAATCAAATTTAATGTTGTACATTATTCAATTCAATTCAATTTTATTTGTATAGATCCAAATCATAATATACATTACCTCAAGGCACTTTACATAGAAGGTCAAGACCTTAAAATCGTATTAATATAGAGAAACCCAACAGTTCCCACAATGAGCAGCACTGCCTCAACAGGAGGGAAGTCTTTCAGTGTGTTTCACATTGTTGAATCCATGCAGATATTAGCATCTAGGTTTAAAGCACATCAAGGTCCTCTTTTTCCACTTGACTGCCCCGGTATTCATTTCTATGCCACTTGGTTATAACATACTAAGTGTCCAGTGTGGCAGCAATATGCTTTCGTTACTGTTACTATGTTCAGAGATACAACTAATATCTCTAGAACATACAGAAAATGCGATGTCACTAAACAGACATTGAGGAACCTGTGGTAAATATTCGTTTAAAGATAAAGACTCAGGAACTGTGTATGCAAATCTAGTAAGCAGATTACAAAGGACAGATAACGAGAAACCCCAGAAAGGGGAAAGAAATTAGAGAGAAATTATCAAAGAGTAATATGGATCAGAAGTAGCAAGCCTGAAACTGAGCTGGACACAGTCCCAGCTTTAACAGTGATCTCTTCACACAACTTCAAATGACTCTTCATTCTTACCCTCTGAAACAAACTAATATAAACCAACTAACAATTATATAATGATACAATTGTAATACATTACACTCATCAAAGAGTGTGTACCAAATGTAAAATGAAAGTTACTGTTACAAAGACATTATGCTGCAGCCAGACCTCTTTGTGCTGAAAAATGGATGATTGTGGTGCTGGGACATGAATGTCTCAGGAAAATACAGTTGAATTGGCACACCATGAATGTCATTTTTTGTAGCAACAATGGGGGGAGGGGGGGAGCAATATTCTTGCTTGACCTGGTTGACAAAGAAAAGGGTTTTTCCACATTTAATGTGGTTACATGGATATAATAGTGTTGCTATCACTGCCTGTCGTGTGGGTTTTGGAGGCTAGCCAGCACACACGGGTAGATGATGCAGACTTGAAACACTTGTTTCTGTAGACAGTGTTATTGCTAGCTTTGGCCTAATGAGTTGGCAATATCTGTGCACTCTCTGTGCACCCTTCATGCACTCAGTTTTCCCCAGGGAATGTACGAATATTTATGTCTAGTCCATGCGGTCCATACTAATGTGGATCTGTAACGTGCCCTTTAGTGTCATAAGGTTAACCATAAAAAATGTAATGGCTATACTAGACTTGATGACTCAAAGCTTTACAGTACATTTCTTTCTATTCACACAGTGCATCTATGCAGAACTTTTTCTATGAGAAGGAACAATGTGGGACAATCAGGGGGTTCAGTATATTGCCCAAGGCATGCACAAGTGTGGAAGACTAGGATCAAGCCACCAACCTGCTGGTTAGAGGACAACCAATCTATCCCCTGAGCCACAGTCGCCCAAAGCTCACATTGACTGATTATTAAATTGTATGATTCTTCTTGCTAGTATAGGTCCTTCATATGCTTCCAGTCCTCGTTACAAGTTCAACTTCATAGCTGACGTAGTGGAGAAAATCGCTCCTGCTGTGGTCCACATCGAGCTCTTTCTCAGGTATTCACTGTTCGTTTGTGTGCGTTTGTGTGGTGCAGTGATTATGTCTTTGTGGAACATGTGACATTAAAATGACAACTTTTAGAATTCATGAAAAACAACTGCTTTAGGTTTAGAAAATTTCTTTTTAAAAGGATCCCATACAATATGCTATGTCTATTATTTGGATACCATGGATTATTTAAGTTGCGCCCACTCATACAAGCCATGTCCATATTAATGTAGAAAAATTTTTTTTTAAACACTTTCATAGTTACTGCAAATGCCAAAGTTTTATAAAGCTCTTCACTACATTATAGAGTAATAGTGTGGTTGGAGTAGTGAAGTCGTCTCATATTAAATGCAGATACATATGCCTTTTACAAAAGCTGTATTGTGTGATCAGCTCCAGCGTACAACAGACAAAATAATAGATCTTAAGGTGACAGTACGTTCTTATTGGTGCTGTATTAAAGAATCGCTCAACCATGTCTGCTTAGGTTCTTTTCAAGAGCTTTTCAGTCAGTCCAATTTGAACGAAGATGACAAAAATGGATAGAAAAATCTTTATCTCATGTTCAATCATATTTCAAACTGACTTGGGTAGATTACTTGAAATACTTCCTTGAACTAACAAATTATTCTCTCAGCAGGTTAAAATATATAAACACAAGCCCTACTTTTATCTCAAGCCTTGATATAGAAGCAGGTCATAGATAGCAGGTCTAGATGATCAGAAATCAGCTCTCGATTCCAGTTCAACTAAACTTACTGATGATTTCCTCACACCAGGCACCCTCTCTTTGGTCGCAACATCCCTCTGTCTAGTGGATCTGGATTTGTGATGTCAGACAATGGACTTATTGTTACTAATGCCCACGTAGTCTCCAGCACTACTCCAGTATCCGGTCAACAAAATCTCAAGGTACAAAATCCAGTTTTTCTACTGGGATCCTTTTTTCCATGTGCAATGCAGCATAAGCAGGGTATTGCTTTCCTCCCCGACACGTGTGTGTGCGTGTGTGTGTTTGACCAAACCCTCCGACACAAGCTAGGGGTAACTCCAGATGTTTCACTTTTGGAGATGATCATAATCATATATGGTATGAAAATATTTTCCACAAATGCAGTTTTTTTATGATCGCTTGATGACTCATTTTGTCAAAACAACCACACACTCAAGGAGCAGAACCTAACGAATATGTTTCGATGATGATTTAATCAGTTACTTGCTTCACTGCTCAATCTAAAATACTTTTTGCTTTTTTTTCTCTTTAATATTTTTTCAAAATTATTACAAAACACAACACAAGACCTCTCCACTGATACTGATCAAAAAAAAACATATCATGCATAAATTGAATATACTAAATACTGCTGTAAACAAAGCAAAAACATTTGTGAGGGCAGAAAAAGCATAAATTAGGCCTAGCTGGAACTGGCCATGGGACATCGCAGGCTATATCCGCTCTGAGAGCATGGGAAGATTTTGCTTGAATGTTGACCCCATCATTGTAGAGACACTGTATCAGTTGGGTCACAGGCCTCCTCCATGGCTTGGATGTGGACTATTGTGTCATAGGGCTGGAGATGTTATGCTTGAACTCCCTGACTCACCTCTAGTAAACCCGTAGATAAGACAGCAACGGTCATATGTGCACTGGTGCCTGGTGAATGACACTGTTCTGTAAAGCGCTTTGAGTGTTCATCAAGACTAGAAAAGATCTATATAAATACAAACCATTTACAATTGTTTGGGAGAATATATTGATTTTGCATTTGATTCTTCATTTTACAGGGAGCCAACGCAGATACGTTAAAACAGGACTAATATGATTCCTTCAGTTTTGTCTGAGATTAGAAGTAAAAACCTATAGGACCCTGGTCTTAAAGGTACAGTGTGTAGAATTTTGTGATATCTAGTGTTGAAATTGCATGTTGCAGCTGAACACCCCTCACCTCACCCTCCCCTTCTAAACATGAAAAAGAAACCTAGGTAGACTTCAGTTGTCATAAAAACTCAAAAGGTGTTTAGTTTGTCCAGTCTGGACTACTGTAAAAAACATGGTGGCCTCCGTACAGCGGACCCCCTCAATGTAAATATAAAGTATTTAGATATTAAGGGCCTTTTCTGGGGTAAAGAAAACTACAATTCATACAATTTTGATGAAATGAACTAGTGAAAACATCATGTGGATTATTCTACATTTAATTTCTGCCAATAGATCCCTTTCACCTAAATCTTACCTTAAATGGACCTCATTCACCAATATCTTCGACAGAATTTTCTTAAATTAGTTTTTGAGAAAACTTCTCGTCAGATTCAGCAGGATACAGTATGTTCTTAAACTGCAGAATTGTTTGCACCTGTGGTCTTATATTGATGAATGGCATGTCTTTGTAAAGTGAAAGCACATGCCTGTAAATTCCCAATTAGCAAAGGTTAACGCCCTGTCATGCCAATAAAAGGACTTGAGACTGCCGTGCTGTGGGCACATCATACAGTCTATGGTGCAAGCAGACATATCACAGAAACTGAAAAGAACTCAAGAAGCCAGGAATGTTTAAACTATGATATCAAGAAGACGCCGCACCAGAATTAATGGTACAGTTTGTAAAATTTTATATCTAGTGTTGAAGTTGCATGTTGCAGCTGAACACCCCTCACCTCACCCTCTCCTTCCAAACATGAAAAAGAACCTGTGGTAGCTTCAGTTGTCATAAAAACTCAAAAGGTGTTTAGTTTATCCAGTCTGGACTAATGTAAAAAACATGGCGGCCTCCGTAGAGAGGACCCCCTCCATGTAAATATAAAGTATTTAAATATAAAGGGTATTTTC